TTCAAACACACCAGACACTCTGTGGGAGAAAGAAGAGGCAGTCTTCATCTGGGAAGCTTTATAGTCTTGGAAGCCGGTTGGGGCCGTTTTACTTTGTCCTACAAGGTAGTGTTCTGAGTGAGTATCAACTTGATGGCAGTGAGATGAGCATTTTTGGTGAAATTTGGGTTTGGTGATCTCACATTTATAGGAACCTTAGGGTTGTTGTTGTTGTTAAGTGCTGTTGAGTCAATTCCGACCCATAGCGACCTTGTATAGGGTTTCCAAGGAACAGCTGGTGAGCTTGAATCACCAACCTTGCAATTCAAAGGACTTCGCAGTCTGATGCATTAGCCCCCATGCCACACTTAAGGGTAGGTGGAACGAAAACTCCTCCTTCCTTAGTGAATCCTTTCTAGCCAGAAATGAGGAGACCTGGGAAGCCTTAAATCCATCAGGGATGTCCAAGTTCACCACGCTCAACCACTTGAGAAGCTCTGCTTACAGAAGATCCCAAATGTGTGTTAATTAAAATCAGTTCTTTCCTCATGATTGGAGTCTGTCTCCTGAGGATTTCTGCCAACTCCTACTCCAATGGCTCATGTTAAAAGCACAGTCCCAAGGGACTGAAACTGCTAGATGCTTTTCAATCTCCACTCTCTCTTTCTTCCACTAACAATGGAACTCCACTTTGCAGCCAGGCTTACTGCTGCTGTCCAAATGAAGGGTGTCATTTCCAAGGGTGTCAGGGTACCCTCTCTCATGTCTGGGTATGGCCACGTGGCCCAGTTCTTCTACCACTAAGACGTAAAAGGGGATGAGACTCCGGGAAAGTCTCCTTCTTCTTTCCATTCAACTGTGGAGACTTAAGAGGTAATGGCAGGAACTTGGGCAGCCATGCTGGATTGTGAGGAAGGATGGAAGAAAAGCAAGACAGAGGAGTCTGGTAATCTTGGAGCCACCCTATTCTCTGGGGATTGCCTCCTTGTGGATCTCTTTTATGGAGACGCAAAGTCTTCTTATTTAGGGCACTATGAGGTTGGAGTCTTTCATTACACTCCAACTGAAGCTAATCCTAATAGACACAACCACTTTGGGATGTAGGAGGCATAGGAAGGGAGGCTTTGAGCAACTACAACAGCCCTAGGCCTTGGAGTTGGTCAAGAATAGACCTAGAGTACAGTCATCATCTGCCAACTCCACCAAGTGCTTCCTCCGGGTTCTCTGCTGAGGAAATGGTGGCTCAGGGAAGGCTGAGCTGAATGTGAGGGGACTGTCACCCAAGAAACAGTGAATGGGTCAAGGCTGGTTGTTTATAAAATCAGATGACTACAGGGAAGCTGATAGGGCGAGGACAGCATAGCGAAGCTCCTATGAGCTGAGTCCTGGGTCTGCAGCACTAACAGGGGGTGTGGAATAGGAGGAAACTGAGGCCAGCCAGGTAGATGGAGAAGATAGAGCCAGGAGAGGAGGAGGAGTGGAGGGTATGATCCTCCCCAGCCAGGTGAGGACAGCATTTACAGGAGGGAGAGCCGTCTGCAGGGTCACCTGCTGTCCATAGTTTCAGTCAGAGAGGAGGGCTGAGATAGGCTCATTGGATTTAGCACCATCAAGGGCCAGGATGGCTTGGATGAAGAACTCTTATGAAGGGTGAGTAGGTGAAAATCTGATTGGAGTGTGATCTAAGAGAGGACAGGCGAAAAGTAAACTGAGGCTAAGAGGCCTCAGTTTATTATTTATTATTATTATTATCTTCCTTTACTATTATTTATTATTATTATTATCTTCCTTTACGAAGTTTATTGTATTTAGCCGTTTTGTATCATGGCGGCTGTAATGCTTCAGAGTACTCTCAGGCTGGTAGCCTGCCTGTTCTCGCCCCTGGGCTTCCCAAGTGAACCCTTCTACTTGGCCTCCATCGCAAGCAGGTCCTGTATAGGAAGCCTGGGGACGGTGGGAGTGGTGTCTGCCAGCCCACCACCACTTGGGCCAGTGCCTGAGGCATGAGGAACCTCACAGTCCAGCCCCTGGAAGCGGGGCCCCTCTGAGATTTCAACTTATCAGTGGCACCTGAACCAGGAGCAGGAACTACCCAATGGGCTCACACAGACAAACTCATCTAAGAGGCAGGCAACTCCTGAGGAATTTTGCTTTTAGGGAGCAGCGACTGGGTGGTACCTAGAGGCGACGCCAGGAAGATGGATCATGTCATCAGAAACCAAGGCGAATGACTACCACAGTTGGATAGAAACCTTAGCTATGACCCTGGTTGAGATGTACATTGAACCATCTGAGCCCTTGGACCATGGACCAATGAAAACAAGGATGAAGAGGAAGACTTCTGAATCTTGACTCCAGCTGTCATCGAGTCAGCTCCGATCCATAGCAACCCTATGTCCAACAGACTGAAACACCACTCGGTCCTGTGCCATCCTCCCAGTTGCTGCCATGCTTGACCCCATTGCTGCTGCCATTGTACCAGTCCATCTTACTGGGGGTCTCCCTTTTTTTTGCTGTCCCTCTACTTTACCAAGCATGATGTCTTTCTCTAGGGACTGGTCCCTCCTGATTACATGTCCTAAGTATGAGAAACGAAGTCTGGTCATCTTGGCTTCTAAGGAACATTGTGGTTTACTTCTTCCAGCACAGATTTCTTTGTTCTTCTGGAAGTCTATGGAACCTTCAATATTCTTCTCCAACACCATAAGTCAAAACGCATCAATTCTTCTACAGTCTTCCTTCTTCATTGTCCAACTTTCATGTGCATATGAGGCTATTGAAAATACCTTGGCTTGGGCCAGGCACACTTTAGTCCTCAAACTAACATCTTTGCTCTTCAACATTTTAAATAGGTATTGTGCAGCAGATTTGCCTAATGCAATATAGGTCATTCGCTTTCTTGACTGTTGCTCTCATGAGTGTCGATGGTGGATCCAAGCACAATGAAGTTAATTCCCTGACTCAAGAGAGGTGTTAATTCCCTCTCTTGCCTGGTCTTAAAGGAACCATGATGGTATTGTGGTTAAAATGCCCGTCTGCTAACAAAAAGGTCAGAGGTCAGGTTCAAACTCACCAACTCTGTAGGAGAAAGATGAGGCAATCTACATCCTAAAGGATGTATAGCCTTGGAACCCTTAGGAGGCAGTTCTACTCTCTCATATAGGTTGCAATGAGTCAGAATCGACTCCACAGCAACGGGTTTGAGGCTTGGTCTTAAATCTGCACATTTCAGTACAAGGGTGGAGAAGTGTTGCTAGCTGGGTGCCAGGGGAGTATGCACTAGGCTATGGGGGAACAGGCAGCCCAGGCCTGTATTTGGAGTCAACTCCTACCAGACTAGACATCTTAGTCAATGAGGACATTTCTTTCTAAAGCTGTAGATGGGGATTTAAAAAAATGAGACTATTTATTTGTTGTTAGCTCTGTGCTTGACACAGCATAAAAAATACACACTATTGAGTAGATTCTGAATCAGGGTGCCCACATATGTTTCGGAGCAGAACGGCACTCTGCAGGGCGTTTCATGTGACTTTTCAGAAGCAGATCAGGTGTTTCTTCTGGGGTACCTCGGAGTGTGTTCAAACTCCCAACCTCTCAGTTAAGCGTTGAGTGCTTAACCATTGTGCCACCAGCAACGTCTTAGTAAATTGTAAGTACACCACTGCCAACTCTTAACTGATCCAAATGAGGGCACTAATAGAGGAAGTGATGATTAACAAGATACCTTTCAACAAAGCACCATTTACTGTAGTGACTAAAGAAAACACTAAACTTTAATCAAGGAGCACTGGAGAAGACTGATATGGATGAAATTGTTGTTGTTAAGTGCTGTTCAGTCAGTTCCGACTCATAGCGACCCTGTATAGGGTTGCTGCAGAGCCTCTGATGGGTTTGAAGTGCCAGCCTTGAGTTCCAAACTGACTGTGAGGTCCAGTGCTTTCTCCTAAAGCACCACACCAAATTATGGCCTCCAAAAACATGTGCTGTAAGTCCTAACCTTTATGCCTGTGGTGTGGTCCTGCGGAATATGGCACTGGACCAAAAGGTCAGTTTAAACCACAGGTTGGGAGTTCAAATCCATTAGCCACTCCTTGGAAACCCTAGACAAGGTCTCTATGGGTCAGAACCGACTCGATGGCACTTAACAACAATAACATGCCTGTAGTGTGGCACTGTAGGATAAGCACTAGACCACAAGGTCGGTGGTTCAAACTCACCAGCCTATACCAGGTTGCTATGAGTAGGAACGGACTCAATGGCACTTAAATGTCTGTGGTTAGGGAGAACTGTCGCTCTGTAGTGTAAGCACTGGACTGCTAACCCAAAAGTCGGCCTTTCCAGCCCACCAGACACTCAATGGGAGAAAGAAGAGATTTCCTGCTCCTACAAAGATTTGAGGAGCTCTGGTAGCGTAGTGGTTACGAATCGGGCTGTGAAACCGTTTGCAAGGTCAGCAGTTCGAAACTACCAGCTGTTCCGCAGGAGAAAGATGAGGCTTTCTGCTCTCCTAAAGACTTACAGACTTGGAAACCCTGTACAGAGTCGCTATGAGTCGGAACCGATTCCACGGCGCATAACAACAACAAACCCTATGCATGTGATGAAACTGATTCATCTTGATTGGCATTTAACAATAAGGACAACAAACTGTTAGACAATAAACTTTTGTTTGTAAAAGTCACCCACGTGTGGTATTTCTGTTAGAACAGCGCTAGATAACTAAGACCAAAAGGCATTTAGGAAAAACAAGACAATGAGAAGCCAGGAAGCTGAGAACCTGTGAGAAAATGTGGGTGATGGGAACAGCATCCCTTTCTCCTCTTCCCAGATTCTCTGTCAGGTCTCTAGGCCCTCACCTGTCTTTCTTCTCTCCCGGCCGAAGAACCTTCCTTCTCGCTGCCTCTGCAGTTTCTAGGTCCCGGCCGAGCAAGTGGTCTTGCTGGATTGCAGTCTGTTTTCCACTTCTGCGAACGTTGACAACTACCCCGTAGAGTGCCGTTTAGGCGTCGCTACCTAGCAACCGGCGGCACGCTCCAGCGCCATCGGCAGGAACACTACAACTCCCAGAAAGCAAAGCGCCTATGGGGCGGCTACGAACACCTTGTCAAGAGCACCATCTTCCCGCAGTATATTTCGGGGCTTGTAGTTTTTCGGTCTCCAGGCGGGGCGGGGAGATGATTGGGCGGCTCCGCCCGGCTCTGCCCCGCCCGCGGCTCGCGGCGGGCAGGGGGCTCGCGGCACCGTCGCGCATGTGCGGCGCGCGGGGCAGCCGTGACCAGAGGAGGCGCGGGCGGCGGGGAGCGGCGAGGAGTCGCGTGCCGCGTTGTTCCCCGCGTCTGCCAGCCTGTCGGTACGTCTGCTTATCTGTCAGTCCGTCCGCCCGCGGGTTAGCTGGTCAGCCGGCGCTGGAAGTCGAGCACTCTTGGACTGCGCACCTGCAGCCGCCGCCGCCCGCCCGGCGTCAGGCTCTTGCTCGTGCCTCCGCCCCGGGACCCCGACCCGGCCGGCCCGGCCCGGCCCTCCACGCCCCGCGGTCGCCCGTGCGTCGCCGCCTGGGGTAGGCGTCCAGCCGGGCCGGGGCCAGCGCGGCGATGATGCACAGGTTCCGAAAGTGGCTGTACAAACCCAAGGTGAGTGCCCACCGCCCCAGCCCTCCCTGCCGACGGGACCCACCGATCCCTCTTCCCCCAATACCCTGTGCTCCTTCTGTCGACCCTCTCCCCCTGCCCTGGGGGCTTCGGTCCCCACCATCCTGCAGAAATCCTGCCCCTTCCTCTCCAGTCTCCCAGGCCTCCTCCTGACGTCTCCTGTCCCCCTACTCCGCGGGATTCTTCTCCTGAGTCCCGGGAAGGACCTTGTTGTCCCTTTCTCCTCCCAGCCTTGAGGACGGCCCCCCTCATTCCCGTCTGATACCCCAACAGCCGTGGGCCTGAGATGGACCCCAAATCCGTTCTTCGCACCTCCCTCCCCACTTCCTTGGGTCCTGGAGGGGCCCCAACTGAGGGGTGTGCTCCCCTGTTATCCTGTGTCCTGTGCGCATCCCCACACCACTGTCCGGCCCTCCTTTCCCGAAGCAGTACTGAGCCCTATCCCTGTCCTCGTCCCGGTCTGCGTCTCCTCTGGCCGGTGAGGTGAGTGGTCCCAGGCTGCGGTTGCAGGGCTGCGGGAGGTGTGGCTTCCCACCCGGTGACCCTCCTGCGCCTGTCTCGGGGTCGAGGTCCAGCCAGCAGAGTGCCCTTTGCTTCCACTGCCGCTCCAGTCGCACTGCGGGCGCTGCATCCCCGCTGTGGCCCCAGCCGGACTATCACACCGGTGTGGGGTCTGGGTGCGGCAGCGCCCAGGTTGGGGTTTGGGGCTGGGCGCGGCAGGACCTGATACTGGGACCGGGGTCCGGGGGGTGGCATGTTGGGGGTCGGCGCTCCCAGAGGGCCCTGGGATTGGCGTCTTGTGTGTGTTTGTGGGGGTGGGGGGCGGAGAGTCGCTGCTCGGGTGGGGTTCTTGCGACACCAGGGGCTAGCCGCCTCATCTCAGCGCTTCTTGGCTTCTGACCTCTTCTGAAAGCTGCCGTGTTGTCAACCCACGGAATCTATTCCACTTTTCTTGGACCCTAGTCCCACCTCCCACCCTGTGGGAGATGCCCCAGTGAAGGGGTTTCCCTAAATCCTGCGTTCTCCAGTTGCCTCTGTTTCGGACCTACCATTTCAGACGGGCTGAGCATCTTGGGGGAGTCCAGGAATTAGTTTTCAGGGTGTTAAGTTGGATTGAGGGTTTACAGTATGTGGGGAAGGGATCTAAGATTCCTCCAAAGCCAAGCCAAGATGTGGGGCGGGTTCACCCCCTGTCCACTTCCCGTGCAATGCGGTAGGTATTTATGGGCATCTCAAACTCTGGCTCTTGATGCTGGGTGTGGCTTGGGGCCCTCTCTGCCCTTGGCAGTTGCCCTCCCCTGCTGCAGTTTCTCCCAAGGTCCTGCTTGTCCCTCTGCAGGTCTATGGGGATGATGGTCAGCCACTTCTGTACTGGGACAATGCAAGGAGTGGCTTTAATTTGTGGGATCCTTCTTCACCAGTTAGGTGAAAGCCATGCTCACTCATCAAAAGGTCATTTTGGGGGCAGCAGCATTGTTCTCAATGACAAATGGTGGTGGGCAGGCAGCAGAAAGGTGTCAGGTAACATTCCTTCATCTAGGAAGCTGTTCTGTCAGGGGGGACTCATGGCATCAAGGGAGCTGTGGAAGAGGCTGTCTGCCTGGGATCACCCACTTTAGAGGAGGGGAAGGAAAAGCCAGGGTGCTTTTTGTCAGTATCATTGTGAGTTACATAATTCCAGTTTAGGCAAAAATCTATATATGTGGGACCTGATGATACCATTGAGGTGGTCCCCCAGACTTAGAAGAACATGGCTAGTGGCTAGTCTGGGGTCTTCAGCAGACAGCCTCACTGCTCAGCGGGTTTCTGAAGCAGACCATAGGAAGATGGAGAGTTGGTGAATTAGCCAGTACCTAAAATCCAAACCCACTGCCCTGGACTCATAGCAACCCTGTATGACTGGGTAGAACTTCCCTCTAGGGTTTCCAAGGCTGCATTCTCTGTGGATAAAGACTGCTTCTTCATCTTTCTCCCTTAGAATGGCTGGTGTTCAAACTACAAATAAATGCTTTAACCACTGTGCCATTGGTTAAGGGGTGGGGGGCAGGCAGAAACAAACCCACTGACAATTTCAGAGGCATAAATCTTTACAGGAGCAGAAAGCCTCATCTTTCTCTCTCTGAGCGACCGGTGGGTTTGAACTGCCAACCTTGCAGTTAGCAATCAAATGTTTATTCTATGGCACCTCCAGAGCTCCTTAATTAATCTATACTCCTGGTAATTCAGTGTAAAGCTGTATGTTCCAGAGAAGGGAGAGAATGCTATTTCATCTGTGGTTATTAGTTACCATCAGCCGTAGAACGTGACCTTTCAGAACCAGGCTTGTCTTCCAAAGCACCTCTATTGAAACCCCCAAGCTTTCAGCAAGTGGTTGAGCACTTGACTGTTTGGGCCACCCAAGGACTCGTGTGGAGCTCTCGGTTTCTTCATTGTCATCCCTCTGTATTGTCTGATATTTGTCCTGATCCTGGACTGTACCCTTCGCTCCGTCTTGGATCTCTTTTCTGCAGTCTGTCTGAGCTTGGACAAGGTCTCTTGGAGTTCTATTCTTACAGTCTGAGATCTCGATTATTTGAAGGCTGGGGTATGTGTGATCACTGAGTAGCCGTCTCATTGTTCAAACCAAAGCTCCATTCGTTGCCTCAGTTTATGAACTAACTCTGGCTTCCCCTTCCTGTGGAATTGAACCCATTTTGGCACAAATGAGCACCCATGCAGTTCTGCGAAGGTTCTAAGTTAAATGTCGGCTGTGGGGAGGCATCTGGGGGAAATTGGTGCCCCACATTTAGGAGTTTTTTCTCTTCTGTTTTTTTGTTTTTTTTTGTGTGTGTGTGTTTAGATAGTTGTACATTTCAAACAGCATTCTTAATTCAATCCCTGCTTGCTGTTGAAAGCTGAACACTGAGCTTGTTTCAGCACAGTGTGGTTGAAAATATTCTAGAACAAAAGATATTATTCATTGTTCTAGGAGTCCTAAAAAGGGATTGGAAATGCTTAAAACATATTCTTACATGACACTTAAATTTTCTGATATCTGAATCATTAATAACTACCTAAACTGTAAAACACACACACACACACACACACACACACACAGTTCCAAACCTTGATGTATAATACAACAGTGTTAGCATTAATATGACATTTACAAATTACTATATTTTCATTTATTTTCTTTACATCAGTCTTTCAAGTACCAGCATGATGTTTCTTCATGTGTAATTCAGACTCAGAATGCTACATGGAAAAGGAAGCATATGGGACCCTTGCCCGCCCAGCCTCTGCACTGAAGCTGTGGAAAGATTTATTTGCTTTTCTTCTCTATAAAGCCTTTCCAAGAAAGTAGTTGTTAGTTTCCCTTAAGTAGATTCTGACTCATGGTGAACCCATGTGTTACAGAGTAGAATTACTCCGTACGATTTTCTTGGCTGTCATTGTTACACAAACAGATCGCCAGGAGTTTCTTCCGTGCCGCTGGGTGAGTTCCAATGACCAAACTTTAAGTTATCACTTGAGCACAAGCCATTACCTCCATCCAGGATCTTTTTCAAAAAGGAGTTAAGTGTAGGATGCTTGTTTGTTGTTGTTGTTAAGTGCCAACTCATAATGATCCTGTATAGGGTTTCTGAAGAGTGGCTGATAGTTTGAACCGCCAAGCTTGTGGTTAGCTGTTGTTGTTGTTGTTGTTAAAGTGCCGTTGAGTCAGTTCCGATTCATATCAACCCTGTATAGGGTTTCCAAGGAGCAGCTGCTGAGTTTGAACTACTGACCTTGGGGTTCAGCTGACCAGTACTTATCCTATGACACCATACCAGGACTCTCCAAGGAAGAGCTGATGCTTTGTAAAGATGAACTATTTTGGTTGAGTTGGTGTCCTCAATTGAACAAAAGTATCTGCTCTGTGTTTCTTGTTTGATGGACTAGGAATTCCATACTGGTCAGGGTTGGTGCAGAAGGAGGGGGAGTGAGGGAAGGGGACCCCAGACTGACAGAAATTTAAAAGGTTTTTATCAACGAACAATTTGATGGTAGTCTTGGATACATTTACACTGTCCACCTGGAGGCAGAAATGATCTGTGCTTGGTAATGCATTCCTCCAGCAATGGTTCTTGTGGCAGCAGGTTATGTGTTCAGCCATGTGATGCAGGGAGAATGATCTCTGCACCCCAGGGTGGGGGTTATTAACCCTTCTGGCTCCCCCACTCAGGGGAACATTCTTGGTAGCAGTACTTTCTCAAAGGTTGGTTCTCTAGTCCCTTTCCGTAGTCAAAACGGGTTCAAAGTAGAGATGAAATGACCTTCACAAAGGAAAGCCTGAGCAATTTGCTGGGTGTGTGTCTTTTCAAAGAAGAGCCTCCAAGCTTCATACAGTTTGGGTGCAAACTGAGATATGGGGTGTTTTGTGAAAACCTGGAAGAACTAAAATTGCATGAAACTTTCTGCCTATTGTGGTTGCATTATCCTAGCCACAGCCAGCAGAGAGTTGAGAGCTTCAATAGGGTCCCCTCTGGTTCCAGCATCTCAGGCCACCCCCCTCTGTGATTGATGGCCAGCTCTCTGCATCTTGGCCCACTTGGGCCAGGGAACAGCGAACTGAAAGGGCAGTGGCAGATTATGAGGGGGCTTCAAAAAAGTTCATGGAAAAGTGAGTTTGAAAGAGAATGGAATTTTTCCACATATCTTTGGAAGCTCATTCGTATTAAGCCAATGGGTCCCACGGTGGGAGGGTAGGGATGGGTCTCTCCACGCCTGATCCCCAATGTGCATAGACATGGTCTCCCATGGTCCTTTCTTCTGGGCTCCTGGATGGCTGAAGGTGAAGCGTGATGGCACAGATGTTAGAGACAGAGTCACAACATAAGTATCTCCAGAGGTTCAGACTCTCCCCATTGGATGCAGATGACAAAAGGACTTGTTACAACGTGGTCCTGCCTGGCCCGGGGATATGGACTGAATTCCTTGGTAAGGTCTCCAGCATGTGC